GGGGGGGGGGGGGGGGGGGGGCAAGAAATGAAGCCATGCTGACTGCAGCCTTCCACAATCCTGACGTGTCGTCTTGCATGGCCCATGGAGGCACACCGGCAAAAGCGCAAAGAACTTTCGCCGGGGTCGGAAGAGGGTGATGGTTGCCGGCATGAACGCAAAGAAGCAGCCCGGCCACGACATTATCGGGTCTGGGGAGCGAAGCAGCTTCAGATGAAGGTGTGCTGCATTGTGCTGCACATCTCACGAGCTTCTCAGACATCTTCGCAGTAGCACGGCCATTCCGTCAGCGCTTGCGTCTTGAGCCAGGCCAGTGGAGAATCCGGCCGACCGGCCTTCTCCGGAGACACTGTTAGCTTTCCTTCGTCCGGAACTGAGAACGACAATTAAAATAGAGCATTTGCAGAACCGTGGCGCCCAATGCACACCTGCTCAAATTCTGTGGACGGGCAAAATTCGTGCGGCATGTTCTGTTGCACATCTCTCGAACCCTTTAATTTCAGTGTTTTACGAGACGTCTGGATCATGCAGGAATTCGGCCAATCAGACACAACAGTTGCTGCCAGCCTTGCCTGATCAATATTCCAAACAGAAGGATAGACAGCAGAAGAAAACTTGAGGCAGAGTTTATAGCCCATCAGCAGAAGTGCAGCATCAGCGCTAGCCTTTTCGTTATTTCAGGTGGCTTCGGCCCTGGTCCGGAGGGCAAAGACCTCGAAGACATCTTGGCTTGGACGTTAGACGACTGGGAGAGTCGTAGCCCCAGACCTGCAAGCCACATACCACCAACATTCACCAACATCACAGAGAGGGTGCCTCGTTCAGCAGTGAATTCCCAACACCAGGTGGGTTGAGTTAGCCCATTCCGGCCAGTCATCTTCGGCACCCGTACTTTCCAAGATCGTAGCCTGCAACGCCTGCAAGCTGCCGACAAGCAAAGTCTGAAACGAGCTGTGCCTTTCTGCCTTTCAATTCAAGTTGGCAGATCGGCACAACTACATCCAGTGGCTCTTCCCCACGGATGAGGAAAGTGATGCTTTGCTACATCTAGACGCCGCGGCAACCGTCGGAGCTTTTGCTTTTTGCTTCAATTTCTGGCACAGTGGTTCGATGATCAGGCATAGGCTCATGCCTGAGCAGCTCTGGGCACAGACGTTGATCGAACAAGACGCCGAAGTTGGGTATACAGGGTGCCCGAGGTCCTGCAGAGCTCGAGCGTTTGCCCTCAAAGCTTCCGCCCAGACCGAGGAGTACCACCCTGAAGCCCCGGTGCTGACACCGGAGATTCAGGAGCAGATGCTGGTCGATTCGGCAGTTTCTCCGTCAGCAGTTCTGCTTGAGATGCATGTTCGTGTTTTGAGGCTGATCTGAACGCCCTTTAGGGTTCTTGAGATCCAGAAGCCTTGGAGTCCGCCGTGCTCGGAGGTTGAGGACAGTTTGATCCGGTCCTTGGAGAAGTTCATGCCGCTTCGGCTAAACAGGATGCACCTCAGGCCAGGATACGCCATGCACCGAGGCAGTTCCTGGGCCTGCAGATCACCTACCTGGACGAGGTGTTGGAAAGGGGTCCGTTTGTCGCCGGATTGTATGCAGGCTTATCAAGGTTCGGCCCTACCTAATCCCATTCCCCTAAAATAAACGGCCCCCCCCATAGATACTCGGAAAGTGTTTTTCTTATTTTTGTCTCTACTGTCAGATTTGGGTACAGTTACGGCAGCTCCGCACAGGCAGAAAAACCCTTTTAGAGCCCTTAAAACCCTAAACCCTCAGTCTTCAACCAAAAAACCTGAAGGCCTGAGTCTTTTCAGACAGACAGGCAGTCGGGCCTGCGGATTTAGGAAAGTGTGAGGCAGGCTTCGGACAGCCACGCTCACAGACCGAGCTGCAGACAGGCCCTCG